CTTCTGTCTGCCTACCTCCTCTCTCTACGTCCTCTTGTGCTTTACTTTTTATTTTGTTTCTTTCTCTTTATTCTCTTTTCTTTTTTTTTTTTTTTTTTTTACTACGAGAATTACTAGAACAATTCTTCTGTTGCAAAGAACTCAGGAAGACCACAGCATAATGTTCTTAATGCTATGGCTTCCTATTTGAAATCTGAGTTTATCATGTTCATAGTGTTTGAATCAGCACCCTGATTGAAAAATCACTGCTCTATAGTGACCCCAGTGTGGTACAGCACAACCATTCAGTACACAATAAACCTGAAAACTGATGGTATATTAGCTATGTCAGAGACACATGGGGGACTTTATGCTCTCTGTTAGGCATGTTTACTGGCACATACCCAGTGCTGTTCTAAGGAGGCTATAGCCACGTATGGATATTTATTGCTACAGATAGTCCTGGGAAGGTTCCAAGCCTGTGAAATGCACCTGCATCCTACCAAGCAGCTGACTGGTGGGATGGGTGGGGGGAGGGAAGGGGGGCATTCTCCCACCTTGGGAACCTTCCTAATTTCTGCCACAAGAGAACAGCCTCTGCTCCTTGCACTCCTCTGGGCTGACTTGGAGGAGTGTGGGCGGAGGGGAGAGCACTCAGCTGCATGGCAGCCTGCTTCAATCTGTACTGCTCCAGGCCGATCCAGGTCAGCCTGGACTGGTATGGAGTGAGGCAGGGCCATTCTGCCACAGCAGGAACCCATTCTGGGAGGGTTCCCCCTACAGAATTCATCCCCTGCTGCCAATCAGCTAACTGGTGACAGAGAGAAGCCATTCTCCAGCCAGAGGAACCAACTCTCCCCTTGCAGGAGATTCCCTCTCTCCCACCACTTAACTGATGAGTCAGAGGTGGGGGTAATTTTTTCAGGGCAGGGTTCCCACAGGCTCCATGACAGATCACCCCAAGACAGGCCATCAAGGGGCCAGTGCTCTTCCTTCCTCCCTCTCCCTTGGGGTGGGGAGGGGAGAGCAGAAGATTCTGGGATATCAGATGTCCTCCTCACCCAAGAGAAATGTATAGCCGTTCAGTTTATATTGGGAGGAGGAGAACCTTCCTTATAGTTACCCCATCTAACTTCTTGCACAAGAGCCAGTTCCCTTCCATAAGAAATCTCTTGAATATCTGTACAACTCTTTGTTTGTGCCAAGAGAAAGCCTTTTCCCCTGACAAATGGAATGCCTTTCCCCCTGGCCTATATTATACCCAATTTTAGGTTAGCATGGGTGGGGTGGAAGTGGCATGCTCCGCCATGGAGGTCCCTAGCATGGTCTGCAAGCCATGTAGACATGCCCTCAGAGCAACAGTGTCTCCTGCTGAATCACCAATGTCCCTGTGTTCAGCAGCCTGAGGTTTATGGTAACTCTCCCATTCA